AACCTGGTTTGTCTCTGAGGCCAAGTCCAGGGTAGTCAGGGGCTGTCGGACTCAGGTTCCTACCAGGGCCCATCGGGGGCGTGTGGCCTCTGCTCCCCGACAGCCGCCAGTGGCCGCCACGAATCCTTGGAGCCGCCAGTCCTTGCCTCAGTTTGTGAGCAGGGCTCCCACTGTCAGGAGAGCCACCCTCACTGACACCAGGCAGCCGCAGCAGACGGTCCCTGCAGACAGGGAGGTGGCAGGCTCAACTCCTTCCCTTCATCCACCCGTTTTCAAAGCAGCGAGTGCATCCAGCGTCCTCCAGCGCTAACCGGTGAGCTTGGTTTTATGATTTTATGAATTTAAGATTCACACATCTTTGATGGGATTTGGTCCATTCTGCTGATGCCAACTGAAGCTCAGAAGGCGCCCTGGTCCTTGGCACCCAGCTCTGCTGGGCTCCGACCCACTTCCTGGTGTGGCAGGATGCTCCAGTCCCTTCTGTGGGGTTCCTGTCCCAAATCTGCTCAGCCGTGTGTCTGCAGAGCCCTGGCCAGCGAGGCCCTGTCTGGGAGCCCCCGGTGCGTGTTCACGGTGCCCTCCTGAGGCCCGGACTGCGACGGGCCCACCGCGCTGAGTGCTGCAGCCGGCACTTCTCTGAACCGGTCACCTCAGGTCCACCGGAAGTGCTTCCCAGGGCCACGAAGAGCCTCCCAGGCTGACCCGGACCCTGATCCAGGGATCTCCAGCAGAGCAGAGGAGGGGCTTCCTGAAGTGAGACTCGGGAGAGTGGAACCCACTTCCTACCCGCTAGAGAGGGGCCTTTTCAATTTGGAGAAAAACTTTAACCAGTGCTGAACCAAAGCCCGTTTGGCTTGAGCGCATTTGCTGAGGAATTGCATCTCCAGGGGGGTTTTGCGTCCACTTCCCGCGGGTGGCCAGGCCCTGTCCCCACTTGAGGCGAGAGCCACGGGGATGCCCATCATGAGTGCAGGCACCGTGGGAGCTACAGGCTCAGACCACACTGAGGCCTGGAGCAGGAAGCTGCAACGTCCACCTCCTCGACCCGGCTCCCCGTCGCCCTGTGGCCCGAGGTGTGATCATTTCATGCCTGATCAGCCTCCCTCTGGCCTGTTCCCCTCCACTGACGGCCAAGCCCAGCCAGGCAGGGCCACTTGGTGCTCCCAGGACAGCCTCCAGGTTCTCTGGCCCACAGGCCTGGAGAGCAGGCCCCACCCTCCCTTCCTCTGCCAGACGCCTGCCCGCGGTCCAGCCTTATCCCGCTGCCCTGGGGCCTCTGATGTCCTTGTTTCCTGAAAGGGGACTTCCCTGACAACACAACCCCCAGGGAACTCATTCAAACAGCTGCTCTTAGCCGGCAGCTCAAATACTGCGGTTTCTCAGATTCCGGCACGGTCTTCCCACAGAAAGCTGGCGGCTTCGTCAAATACTGCAGCTTCTGATTCCAGCACAGTTTCCCACAGGAATCTGTTTCTCCGTGTGTCGCCATCTCCTGACCCCGCCGGTGGTACACAGCTGTGTTTCCCTCCTTCAGGGCGCACCGCCCTTCAGGCCAGAAGCTTCCAGAAGGCAGAAATGCTGAGCTCCCTGCAGCGATGCAAGGCGGGCCCCGTACGGCTCTGCACCTTGAGGGCCGACTGCGTCCTCTGGGCTCCGAGGGGCCACTCTCTCGCGGCCATGCAGAGACCCAGAGATCTGAGGCTCCGCGGCTGCAAGGACAGCGTCTCGGGGCAGGAGGAGTCCTTCCTCACGGTGCCAGCCGGAGGGTGCTCTCCAAGTTCACACCCCAGAGAGTGAGGCTGCAAACAGATTAGGTCTGGATATTTTAAAATTATAAAAATATTAGCAGAAACAAAGGAAAACTGACCCTGTCACCTCGGGGTGGAGAACATCCTCCTACAAAGCTGCTGAACACAAACAGGTTGGATTCCACACGTTAGAGTGTAGAGCTCTGGGATGCGAGAAGACGCATAAACAACGTCAGGAGCCGGCAACAGACGCAGCGAGCGTGTGCGGCGACCAGGCTGAGGCGAGCCCTGATGTGCACAGCCACCCGGAAGCCCCACCTCAGCGGAGAAAGCACAGTCCTTGCATGGGGATTTAGAGGGAAAAATTAAAACTGCGAGTCGATACAAACAGATGCTTGGTCTCATTCATAATTACAAAAATGCAAATTAACTCGACGAGTGAGTTTCCCCTAACAGATTGGCAAAGCTGCGGAGACTGGTGCTTCGGCTGTGGCTGGTGAGTAAACCGGTCGGTCATTTATCAGGAGGGTTTGTCACAGCTGTCAGAATTGTAAGTGGATGTGACCTGGGACCCAGCATCCCCCTTCCTGGAATTGAGGCTTCGCACACCTGACGTGGCTGCACCAACGTCACACGGGGCCCCCACCGACGCCACACGGGGCCCCCACCGAAGCGTCAGTCATGACAACAGAACATGAGAAGCACCCACAGCAGCATCAGAGCAGAGGGGATGGACCCTGTGTGCCCAAACACGCATGTCACAGGTCCCCCAGGGAGGCGGATCCCAGCCTGGGCACAAGAGTGTGGCAGGTCCCCCCAGGATGGCACAGGAGACCCCAGGAGTTGGCAGCAGAGCAGCCATTGGGGCTCCTGGCCCAAGGTGCAAAGGCAGAGGTGATGGTTGTGGCCAGTGCCAGGCGAGCCGTGAGGGGACGGGGAGGTGCCAGGTCCCCTACCAGAAGCACGTGCACAGCAGGGAGTCTGTGGGGATGGCCAATGGCCGGGGGCCTGGCTGGTGTGCCAGGTGGGCTGCCCCAGGGCACCAGGCAGGGCGCAGGAGGGAGACAGCAGAGGAGAAGCAGAAACCGGCCTGCGGGGAGGCAGGGCCAGGCATGGGGCAGAGGTCAGTCTGGGTTCCTGACCTGGAAGGAGATTCATGCCGTGAAAAACCCAGGACTCAGGGCAGAGTGCGGCTCGGGAGAGAGAAGAGATGCGTGTCCGGCTGCCTGTGTGTGCTGGGTGTGCACGTATGTGTCTGCATGTGTGCCCATGTCTAGACTGGGAAGCCCCAGGACCGTCCACACACACACACACACACACACACACACACACACACACACACCAGACTGTGGAAGTGGAGCCGTCTGCGAGGTGCCGTTCATGCCCCAGAGAAGAAAGTGTGGGGTGCTGCGTGTTCCTGGTTTCTTTGTGACCCTTTCTGTCTTGCTCAAATAAGACATCTCAGGAGAAAAAGGAGTTTGAGGCAGAATTGGATGAGCTTGGTGATGGTGGTTGGAGCCCGGCTCAGGTGGAGTCAGGGGCCCTGGGATCCGGCTGGGTCCCTGCAGCCTGACCCTGAGACAGACCCTGACAGAGAGGGGGAGTCGGCCAGGATGACCAGCTGGCCTGGGGCCCCGGGATGCAGGGCTTTCTGTGAAGACTGGACACTCCCTGGTCACCCTGGACCTCACGACGGAATGGAGAGGCAGGTCTCAGGGTTCTGTGACGACATCTCGAGACCACCCAGGGAGATGCCTGGGGCCAGGGCAGCCCAGGACACGGGTGCATGTCCA